CCTGAATTTAGAGATCATCTGAAGAACCGATTTGATACATTAAACCCTAAAGACCAAAGACCGGAAGAGTTTTCAGATGACATCAAGAATATCATGCAGGAAGAAAGCAAAAAGTTATTAAGAAGACAAGAAAGAAGAACAAGGTCAAAATGGATGTCAGATGAGATACTGAAACTTGCCCTCCTATGTAGAGATGCTAAAGCAAATGGAAGAAATGGGGAGGTACAAGAGCTGAATAGAAAATTTCAAAGGTCAGCTTGAGAAGCTAAAGCCAAATATTACAACAAAATGTTCAAAAATCTAGAGTTAGAAAACCAAAATGGAAGAACATGCTCAGCATTTCTAAAGCTGGGGGAGCTGAAGAAAAAATTCAAGGCTCCAATTTGGTTATTAAAGGATTTTCTGCACAAATTATTTAATGATGCAGAAAGCATCGAGAAGATGGAAGAGAGGCAGGGCTTGATGGCGGCTTGGGTAGAGGTGCAGTGAAGTCCGCTGTCAGCAATACCACAGAATGCCAGGTGAAGCAGATCCAGGGCAGAACTCCAGGACTAGGAACCACATAGGTATGAATATTTAAAGAGTTTGAAGGCTTATAGCTAGTGAAACTTGAAGTGGAAGTAAGAAATCGCATACTTTTGAATCTGCGAGGCTCAGCAGCCTGGAACCCACAAGTTAGGCAAGACCAAATGGCAAGACCAAGCCAGGGAGCAGACACACCATGGAAAAACGCCATGGGAACCTCATATCAAAGGTGAACAGTACACTTAGTTGGTTTTGCTTTGTTCTGATTTTTTTTTTTTTTTTTTGTATCTGTTCATTGCTCCCCCCGCCCCGAACTTTGTACACCTCCAATATGGTGACTAGAGGGGGCACTGAGCAAGTGGATGCCCCAAACTCTCACCACTGGTGGGGTTTTCTGCCATGCATACACACAAATACGCTCAGCCCAAGAGCTGGACCTGAACTGTTATTTGATGTTGTTGTTGTTGTTGTTCATAAAAACAGGAAAGGCCAGGAGAGGGATGTAGAGAGGGAAAGAGAGTTTAAAAACAAAACAGGCCAAAAATTAAATTAAATCCTGAGGTACAGCATAACAACCAACAGTGGCAATTTGAAATCTCTCAGACAACTCTGAAGGCAAGAAACTGAAGAGAAGTCATTAAAGTCATACTCATATTAGGCTACACTTTTTTTTTCTTCTCTCCCTACTCTCCATTTGCTGCAATTATAGACTACAGTATTCAGTCTATTTAGTCTAGTTTTGTTTTTTTGTTTTGTTAGTGTTTTGGTTTTTTATTTTTCTTTTATTTTTTATTTTTTATTTTTTTGCTGGTGCTGTTTTGCTGTTTTATATGCCCCCTTCTACCTTTGGGGGACCCTTGCTCTCCCTATATTACCCAAGATGAGACAGCAACTGCTGCCATATAGTCAAGCTACAATCATTCTCTATAAAAGATCAAAACACAGACAAGAAACAATACCAACTGCAATACAACAGGGAGGCAGACAACACCTGTGAAAGTTACTCTGAGTTAAGCAATAAGATGAGTGAAAAGGGAAGCCCACATCCTGATCATATCTACCGGGAAGCAATCAGAAAGCATAAAAAAACACCAAAACACATACTCAATTAAGTATTAAGGCCAGAGATAAACACTAAACATGTCCAAGAAGAAAAAGCAGATTACCATATTAGCATAAGTCCAAAAACAAGATAAAATTTCTGAGACAAAAGACCTAGAGGTAGAATTGGACTACATTCTTGAAGGAAGACAGGCCTTGGAAAAGCCTGAGAAGGAATTCAGAAAAACTATCATAAAATGTTTCAAAACACTTTAAAATGGAATTGAGAAAAATAAGGAAGAA